GAGGGCAGGCAGCGTGGCAAGCGCTGGGCGGAAGCGCCTTCCCTGCCTGCCTCCTGCCTGATTTCTACTTCCAGTGTGCGATTTCAATCAAAGATTTTAATAATCATTTTCCCCCCGCGCATAATACAGCCCTGCCTTGGAGCGCCGGGGAATAATTATATACACAAAAGGCGAAGAGGGAGGGAGAGGGGGAAGCGGAGAAACTGGTAAAACAGCATCCTGAAAGCAAACGGACATCTGGAATGACAGCCTTCAGGTGGGAACTGCTCCCCGGAGCCCGGGCTGGAGCCTGAACCGGGCTCTGCTCCCACATCGCATCCCTACGGATGGACCAGTGGAGCGGGGCTGCCCTGGGGTCCCCCCGCAAAGCGTTTTCCCGCAGCATCCCGCAACCCCAGCTGTGTCCGGCACTCAAAATCCCTGCTGAAGCAGGGAAAAACTGGGAAAAAAGACTTATGTGAGCCAGAGCCGGCTGCGCCCAGGGCTGGCGAGTGGTTTCAGAGCAGGAATCATCCCTGTGTGAAAGGCCTCGTGCCCACGCAGGGGTTTTTGACGGCTTTGGGGTTTGGTTTTGTTAAGGTGGTTATGACCCGGCTGCTTCTTCCAGACCTGCAAAGTCCTGGTCCTCCAGCTCTTGCAAGGAGAACCTGAAAGGGGCAGGTTCCAGCCAAGGTTTTGTGGTTCTGCAGGAGGATGGGGTCCACCACTGCCCTCACTAAGCGCATCCAGCTCTGCGCCCCAACCATCTCACAAAGCCCCAAGCGGAGGAGATGGCCACAGGGATGGACATTTCCAAAGCCCCCATGGTGGCTCTGTTGGAGAATATGCCAATATCCCAAGTGCTGTGGGCACTAATGGGCTTTAACGATCTCGAGCAGCCCCTCCTGGGACCCCCACCCATGAGGCCACCTAAGCCTGGGGCCATCAGTCCCTGCCTGTCCCCAGCCTTGTCCCTGTGTCTTGCCCCCCCACTTCCAGCTGAGGAAGAACATCACTACGCACAAGGCGGACAACCGCAGGGACTTATTTTGTTTTATCATCTTCTCTTTCAGCGATATCCTACAGCTTATGATTTGCCAGCCCGGTGTCTACCACGTACTTTTCTGGGTAGACTTGGAAGACAATTCCGCGTACCGTGCTCCCATCAAGCTTGCTCTAAGCGATCCGGAAGACAAGGGGTTGAATTTCCAAAGCCTCTAACACCCAACATCTACTTGGTTTGGGGAAAAACCTGACCTCTGTTTCTTTGGAGTTGCTGGAACCTGGTTTAGCCTGGTTGGACCGGTGTGTTTTAGCTGCGGAGCCTCCTCTTGTGCTGAGTTTTGTGCTGTTTTGTGCAAATTCAACTAATTGTCGCAAAGTTATGCGGGTGTGTTGTAGGAGTCGTTGAGAAGGGTGGAAGTTTAGCACCCTTCTTGCGGTGGGGACCTTGTGGCTAGCTCTACGCTGACCTGCTCACCTTGCTCCATGATGTGAGGAGCTCTTCCAGGCAAGCTATGGGATACAGCCTGGGAGGTCACCGGTGCCTAGGGACATGCCAGCTCCCTGGAAAAATCATCTCCGGGCCTCAGCGCTTCCCAGCACCCTCTGGAGAAGTCATCTTACGGGACACGGACCCCCTCCCTGGCACAAGAGGAGGATCTCCCTAGGGGTGAGGGGCAGAGGTTGGGTGTCCCCTGGCCACCTTCTGCTCCTCAAAGCACAGGCACCTGCTCTGCCCAGCTCAGCTCTTCCACCCTCCGGCATTATTCCTACTCCTTTGAGCCCATGTCCCAAAACATGCTCCCAGGGAATGCTGAGAGCCCTTTACCCCTCCCCTGCGTCCTCAGGCCGCTGTCCCCTCTCCATTCGGAGACACACGGGTACTCTCCAACTTGAGCAGCCTACAAAAGGTGCTACAGGGATGCTCAAGGTCCTTCTGGCCCCAAGAGCTGGATGGGTATCCCATGGAGCCACCCAAGGTTTGGTGGGAAGCAGAGCCCAGCCTCAGCTGTGAAACGGCCAGAGATTGGTCCCGTTCCAGTCCTCCTTATCCCTCCGCATCCTTGGCAGGAGGGATGCTTGTGTCATGCGTGGTGGTCCCACCTGGCCTTAAATCCCTGGGCTCAATGAAAGGGGCCGAAACC